TCATCATTTTAAGGAAAGAGTCATTTATTCCTATACTCTCTAGTATTTTTAATCGGAATGGCAAAGTTTTATGTGTTGAAGAGGCCTTTGGTTTTGAATAGTTGAACTAGATAAATGAAAAGATAGAATAATTTCTAGATTAGAAAAAGCAAATTGCCACTTACACAAGAAGGTCTTCTGAAGACAAGAAAGGAGAAAAGGCAAGGGACATATATTTATTTCTCTTTTGCAATATGTGTAAACATTTGATTTTCATTTATATTCAGTTAGACTGGTTGTACTCAAGTTTCAATTACAGGACTTCCTGGTAAGTAGTCAAGTAGATCTTTGTTAGGTCTGATAAGAAAGTGGGTCTTCCTACAGTTGAAAGACATAGAATTTAATTTGTTTAACAAGATGTGATCTCCCAGGTATAGGGAAATCCTAAGGAGAAAATCCCCCTCTACAAATGAGGATCTGTACCTGTTCTGCAAATCTTGGTCTTAGAGAATTTCTAGGGGCACTAACAAAAAAAATTTACTCAGGGTCATATAGCCAGTATGTCAGAGGTGAGAACTGAATCTATGTCTTCCTTACCCCAAATAACACTGTTTTCTATTCTGAATAGTACTGTAGTTGAAAATAGCAAGTCTGCTGGGTTTTTTTCTTAATTAAATATTGTTAATTTATATTCATGGTCTATTTCCAATTTTTTTTTTAAAAAAAACATAGTTCCAACAACTTATTTTACTCATTTTTTCCCCCATCAACCTTCTTCCAAATGTATTTATAGTTCATCTATGGTGTTAGAATGCTCAACTCAAAGATAGATAACAGAAGATAACTTTGCATCAATCATTTTAGTGTACCACATACATGAATGTATTAAAGCGGAAATGGATCAATTGTACAAAGTTTGCCTAATTTAAAAATAAAGTATTTCCCACTTGTTCTACTTGTACCATGTCACTTGTGATGAATTTAAATTATTACAATTTACATGCTACCAGAGGGATTTCTTGTTCACCGTGGAATTGTTTGGGGATGAAAAAAAATGGAATAGCCACATTATTATAATTGTAATAATTGCTGTTGCTTTTATGGTGAGCAGGAAGAAATGAACATAAAACTCAAGTTATTTTAAAGTTTCTGATAGTTATAGAATAGCAAATCTGTGGAACGGACAGTTTCTTTTTCTTTTCTTTTTTTGGTGGAGTGGTGTATGGTTGTGAATATTGTGACTTAAAAAGAGCTATTTGAACACCTGAAAATCTATCAAGCCTACGAAATATAACTTTGATTGGTCCTACTTTTCCTCATATTGAAATAGGTTGAATAGATGCTAAACAAATAATGCCTTTCTAACTTGTTTAGGATAAGGGTTTAATATATTTCAATGCAAAATCTATTTAAGTGTGTGTGTGTGTGTGTGTGTGTGTGTGTGTGTGTGTGTGTGTGTGTTTTGGGGGTAAAGCAAAACAAAAACCTGTTATCTTTAGTGCACAGTTAAATCACTTTATATATTCAGACAAAAATTGCATTTCTTGTATGGGATATTCTTTCTTAATTTATTTTGGGAATTTAGGCAGGAGATAACAAAAACAAAACAGAAATTTTTTGAGCTTTTAGAAAAATCAGATCTTTGTATACAATAGAAATGGGGACATTAGGTAGTGCATCAACTTGGTAAATGATGACTGATCAGGCCTACTTACTGTGAAATAAGATTTGGCTGGTTTACTTAATTTTCAAGAGCTTGGGTAAATAGCTAAAGAATTAAATTACTTTGTGTTGGTTTTCTCTAGGGTGAGAAGAGCCTGCTTTGCTATGTGTAACTGAACTCCTCTGTATTGATTAGCGCTCCAGGGCCAACCTTCCCTAGTTATGCTCACTTTTAGCCCCCTTGCTTCTGGTCTTGAGTGCAGTTGTGAAAATATACTGTTATCGATGTGACTGCTTGCATTCTTTATCTTTGCCGTTGTTGTCAAATACAGTCCACCCTCCCTTGATCATCCTCAGCCTGTGTGGTCTGTAGATGAAGTGGTTTAAAGTTCTATGGCTGGTAGTAAAATGAGCACCAGGGTAAGTGACAGTACTTCATTGAAAACATGACTGTTTCCTCGTCTTGTTGGTTAGTAACTAAGCCTAATTTAATCAAGTGGGCACGTGTCCATTAACAACAACAAATTACGTATTCTGTCAGAGTATTCCTTGTGGTTTTGAGGTTTTGCTGCTATCAGGCTTGGAGGGAGTGGTAAGAGCATCATTTGTAATGTAATAAGGTAGGAAAAATCTAATTCAGAAAGAATGGCTCCAAGGGAATTCAGCATTTGGCCAGCAACTATTTTTACAGTTTAAAACAATGTGTGTCTTAAACCAGTGTGGATAAACAAGTGTTTGATGTTTCCTCATGCTTGATGGTTGTGTTAAAAATGAACAACAGCAATTGAACTAATTCGGATAAAAGAGGGTAGCAGGCTAAATATTTAATTCTAATATCTAATTCTAATTCAGTTCTAAATAATTTAATTCTAGTTACACAACCCCCGAATACTCTCTCCTCACCTCCATCTCTTAGAAGTTTTTGCTCAGCACCTGTGCTATGCCACTTTCTACTGGAAACATTTCTTGATTCCTTAGGTTTTTATTTATTTTTTCTTTCTAATTAGCTATACTTATATCTTTCTATATAAGATAACAGAATCATGATTTGGGAGATACAAGGAACCCTAGAGGTTATAACCCTCGTAATTTAACAGATATATACATATACACATACATATGTAATAAATATATAACCCTCTTTATTTAACAGATATATACATACATATATGTGTACATGCATACACACACATATATACATATATATATATACATGCATACACATAATAGATATATAACCCTTTTTATTTAACAGATAATGATATTGGAACCAAAAAGAAGAATAAAGGAGGGACACACGTATGTGCATGTGTGTACATATGTAAACATATGTATAATACATGTATACCCACACATATACATACATACATATTCATTATGTTGTTTAGTTATTTCAGTTGTGTCTGACTCTATGTGACTTCATTTGGAGTTTTCTTGGCAAAGATACTGGAGTGGTTTACCATTACCTTCTCCAGCTCATTTTACAGATGAGGCAATTGAGGCAAACAAGGTTAAGTGACTTGCCCAAGGTCATACAACTGCTAAGTGTCTGAGACCAGATTTGAACTCATGAAACTGAGTCTTCCTGATTTCCAGCCCAGTACTCTATCCACTGTGCCACCTAGCTGCCCCATACATACACTATCTTCATCTCTAAAATTGGGATTATAAGGGGCAGGTAGATGGCACAGTGGATACAGTACTGGCCCTGAAGTCAGGATGACCTGCGTTCAAATCCAGCCTTAGACCAAACATTTGATGCTTACTAGCTGTGTGACCCTGGGAAAGTCACTTAAACCCAATTGCCTAAAAAAAAAATTGGGATTATAAAACCTTCAGGGTTCACCTCCCAGGGTTGTTGGGAAACTTACATTTGATGATATATGTAAAGTGTCTTGCCAGTGTTAAAGTTTTATTGTATGTAAAAATAAAACACTCTATCCAGTTGACTTCTGAGCTCCATTCCCACTCTACATCTATAATCTTATCAATGCCCAATAACATTTTTATTCATAATTATCACCGTCACTATCATTTCTTTCCCCAGTTTGGCCCCTCTCCCTTTGCTTATCTCCTTTCCATTTCTAGTCAGTATAGTAGGAGGAACACTGGATTTGGAATCAGAGGACTTGGTTTTCAAACTCCAGCTCTGACACTTACGCTGATGTGATTTAGTCAACTCACAACCTCTCTTGGCCTCAATTTCATCATCTATAAAATGGGCTGGTTGCACCGGATGCCCTAAGAGGTCCTGTCCAACACTCTGTAAGACTCTTTCCCAAATCTGTGTTAATTGGTTTGCTGCCCTATGAGTCAAGATTTTTTTAAATGTTCACATTAAAAATCACCTATTTTAATTTTAATCTAGTCCTCTTGGTTCAACCATCTGTATATGTAGGAAATGACTTCAGTTGTTTTTCAGTCGTGTGTGACTCTTTGTGACCCCATTTGGGGTTTTCTCGATGAAGATACCAGAATGGTTTGCCATTTTCTCCTCTTGCTAGTTTTACAGATGATGAAACTGAGGTAAATAGGGTTAAATGACTTGCCCAAGGTCATACAACTAATATCAGTGGACAGATTTGAACTCAGGAAGCTGAGTCTTCCTGACTTCAGACCTAGCACTCTCTTCACTGAGCCACTTTGGTGACCTAGGAAATGGTCACAAGAGGCAGTGTAGGATAATGGAAAGAGCACTGCATTTGGGGTGAGAGCACTTGAGTTCAAATTGTGACTACTCCCTGTTCAACCTGGAAATCATTTCCCATCAATAGGCCTTAGTGTCCCCATCCGTAAAGTGAGTTCAGAGTCAACTGTTGCCAAGGTCTCTTCTGTTTCTCAATTCAGCAATTCCAAATAGATTGCCCCTAAGCTTCTTGTCTCCAGTCTTTTTAAGCTTTCCTCATTTACCACAGTCTCCTCCCCACGTGACATCTTAGCTCTATTCCTGAAAGGTCACAACCTTCCCCAACACACACACACACACACACACACACACACACACACACACACACACCCCACTCCCCTGGCTCCTTGGTAAGTCTCTAAAATGTTATGTGACCTCAGATTTCTACAATGTGTTTTTTCTGCAAAATTCAAAGGCAAGCCCACCTTTCCTTCCCTCTTCAGTGCTCTCGATCGAAATTGTCATTAATAAACACATTCGAAGTGTTTGACTGTTGCTTGTGGGTGGGCCTCCTAGACAAAAAGATGTCTGTGAAGCTCTGTAGTACCTTTATTTTGAAAGCTGTTTCGACAGAGATTTTACTAGGCACTTTTAGAAGTTATTTCCAATCGCTTTTCTCCCCGTGGAGTTTTTTTTCCTTACCCTAAACCTACGTGGTTTTTTTTTTTAACAGATGCAAAAGAAATTGTTTTAAAGGCTCAGATATTAGCTGGAGGGAGAGGAAAAGGCACTTTCAATAGTGGATTGAAAGGAGGAGTTCATTTAACCAAAGAGTAAGTTTGGGAATTTTTTGTCTTTGTCTGTTAGTCAAAAATGTCACTTGTCTAGGGGTTGGGTAAAGAGAGGAGGGCATTGAGGGCCAAGAGGTGGGGGAGGGGAACCAAGCAACAGGAGCTAAGGGTTGAAGAGGGCATACATAATATACTTCTTCTTACCTTGGCCTCCCAAAAGCCATGTGCTTTGGAATACCCTGTGACCTTGGGCAAATAACTTCCTCCTCTCTGGGTCTCAGTTTCCCCATCTGTAAAATGAGGGGGTTGAACTTTATGACCTCTAAAGTCTTGATGCTCTAAATATATAAACCTGTGAGATCCCCCTGCCAATCAGGGAAGAACATAAGTACATTCCACGTATTCTCTCTTGACATAAAGGATGGGGCTGACATAGATGGGTCATGAAGGGGTACGGATTGTTGGCCAAGGGAAGGAGGTTTGACTTTCTACGGCAATGGCTATGCTGGTATGGCTTACATCCTCTGCCATTAGCGTTCCCCCAAATGTCCCCTTTATCACATGAATAGTTATCAATGACTCTACATTGATGATCAAAGACATCATGCCCTAACTTCTTCTTCTGATATAGGGAATCTGGGGCTACCTAATCTGACCCTGCTCTCCCCAGTCAGCTCTAAGTCATCCTACATCCCAGTGTAGTCTGAGCTCTCTTCTGGCCATGTCTGTCTTCTCATTGTCTTCTGCATGTCGCTTGATCTCTCTGTACCCGGGCCTGAAAGGATGCCCTTCCCATCTTTTCTTAGTTTATTTGATCCTTTTTCAGCTAGTTGAGAGCAAGCTCATGCATCCTTCCACATGGCATTCCCTTGTGATGGTTTTTACTCCTGAATTTCACCATTAGTTTTGGTGCCTCAAAAAGATTTTAAACTTTTTGAGGGCAAAGGTTGCTTGTTATGATTTTATTCTTGCCCACACAGCACAGGAGCAGTAAACTCCCAATTCAAGAGGGGAGAAATGGAGCTCTGTAGTGGTGAAATGAGAAAACAACAACTCTGTTATTAATATCTTTTTTTCTTCTCTTAGTCCTAAAGTTGTGGGACAGCTGGCTAAACAGATGATTGGTTATAATCTGGCGACAAAGCAAACGCCGAAGGATGGTGTGAAAGTCAACAAGGTAGTATGGATTTTTTGTGGGTATTATTTTCTATAAAAATATAAGAACAGAAGCAACAAGGAATCAGAGAATTGTGGAGTTAAAAGGTGCCTTCCCTGAAGTCTCATTCAACCTGGCTTAGAAAAGCAATCCCTTTGAGAACACACCTGGTATAAGTGGTTATCTAGTCTTTGCTTGAAGAACTCTAATGCCCTGTTACATTTGGAGGCAGCCATCACCCTTTGAGATAGCTCTTAGAGTTCTGAATGTTCCCCTTACATTGGGCTTAAATTTGCATCTTGACAATTTCCCATCCCTGATAGTCCTTCCTTCTGGAACCAGAAAGAGTAGACCTAATATCTGTTCTTCATGAGAGACTTTCAGATACTTGAAAACAACTATCATGCCTCCAAAAGCTTCTGTTATCTAGGCCAAATATACCTAATTTCTTTAAGTGATGCTCATATGACATAGACTTCAGACTCATCACCAAAGGTACCTTAATGTAATGATTAGAATATTAAAGTTGGAGTCAGAAAGATCTGGATTCAAGTCTTGCCTTATTGTATATTATCTTGGATAAGTCACCTCTAGATCTCAGTTTCTTCATCTGTAAAAAGAGGACTTGATGGCCTCTACAAGCCCTTCAAACTCTAAAATTATGATCCCATGATCCATCTGGTTTCCCTTCTCCGCCCTCTTTCCATCTAACCAATGCCCTTTCTAAATTATGTCTGAAACGGGAGACTTTTTTTAATTGAGACTAATGAAACAATGGATCCTTATGTAACATATGAGAAGTTCACATTTGACATCCTTCATGAGACAATTAAAATTCAAATTGCAAATAGCATAATAGTTTAAAAATGTTTTTTTTTTCCTTCCAGACTTGTGATTTTATAGATATAGGGAGCTTCCATATGTGGAAACTCTCTGTCTGCCAGTACAGATCAATTACAGTTTTTCAAGTTGGAGTCTCAGAAAGAAACCTAGAATCCTGAGGTTCAATGACTTGCCCAGGATCACACAACAAGTATATGTCAGAGGAAAGACGTCAATGCAGGTTTGCGGGATTGCAAGGCCAGCTCCTTACCCTGATCTCCTGTATGGGGGTGCCTTTCCACACAACTCTTAGTAATCACAACAACAACAACACAATTTTGACAATAATAAATTCCAAGGACAACAATAACTGGCATTTACGCCATGCTTTATAATTTGCCAAGCCCTTCACAATACATTTTCTCATTTGTATTTCACAACAACCAAGGGAAGCATTACTAGTACCAATAAGTCCACCATTTTACAGATGAGGAAACTGAGGATCAGAAAGGTGAAGCAATTGCTTAAGGTCACACAGCTAATAAGGGACAGAGGCAGAATTATACTCATCTTCATGTCTCCCTGTGCAGCACTCACTCTATCAATGATGCTTCTCAGTCAAGGGCCTGGAAGTGTCTATGATTGTGTATCAATAGATAAAGTCTTGTAAGTGAGGTCTTAAATTTCATTGTATCATGGACCCCTTTTGTGGTCTGGGAAGCTTAGGTACTTCTACCCAGAATAATGTTCTTAAATGCATAAATACATACTTGACATCACAAAGGAAACCAATTATCTTTAAAGGAGAGAATGGAAGAAACATTTAGCAAGCGCCTACTATGTGCCAGGCACTCTGCTCAGTGCTTTATGATTATTTTCTCATTTGATTCTCGCAACAGCCTTGTGAGGTAGAGGCTATTATAACCCCCATTTTACAGTTGGGGAAACTGAGGTAGAGGTTAAGCGACTTGCCTGGGATCACACAATTAGTAAATATCTGAGGCCGGATTTGAACTCAGGTTTTCCTGACTCCAGGCCCAGCACTCTATCCACTGCACCAACTGGCTGCCTGTTAGAATCGAGTATTTAATATATTAAAGAAAAACACATTCTCCAGCCTGAGCTTAAGAAGCCTTACTTTAGAGGGTATAGTCCCTAAAGCTGAATTGGCAGTCTTCAAGTTTTTTCTCCAGTATTGTTGAGATGTTTGTCTCTTCCTTCCATGCATCCTCCCAGAGTGAAGCTCTGGGCCCATCTCTAGTACCTGGAGACAGCAGCTTTGTTACTTTTTATTTTCATTTTTCACAGACAGTGTTGTAGAAGGTTCTTGACATGGCCCAACAATCACCAACTGTTGACTAATGTACCATGAGAGCGCCTTGGCGTTGGCCCGGAGAGAAGGCCTCTCACTGGAAGGAAGTTTTAATAATGATGCCTCATTAGCCCCATCAGGCTAAGGATGCACACATAGCCTGTGCCAAGCAGTGGATGCAACAAACAAAGAAAGCCACTCACCGTCTTTTCCTGCAGCTCTGCCTGGCAGCGATATTCAACTGACAATTTGAAAGTTGCTCTTTTGGTGGTCTTGGCCTAACTTTTTACTGCCCTATGAAACTCAGCCTGGCTCCCTTTTGAGGGAGAGAGAGACCACACGTGAGATTTCCTGATGAGGAATTTCTCTCTACCAGTACAAGTTGGCAACTTCTCTGCACCCTTTTCAAAAAATGTTTCACAATTTCTTTACTGAAAAGGATGGCATTTGAGAGAGTACTTTTTAAAAACTGTAACAATTCATGCTGGGTTTTACATATATATAAACAGATCTCTTCTCCCTAGCTCAAAGCTAACATTTATATCATGCTCTTCATTAAAAAAAAAAATCAGATGTAGCACAGAGAATTCCTAGTGAGAACTGTTCCTTTACCAATTCATTGGCATAGAGGATTCCTAGTGGAGAACCTTTCTTTACCGATGCAATTGTTCAGAAATGTCAAGTTTTACAGAGTTGCCTAGTAACTGAGAGGTTAAGCCATTTGTCAGTGGTCAGAGTTCCAGTGTTATCATAGGTGAGACTTGACCTGATGTCTCTTAGACTTTTGAGTCTGATGGTCTGTGCATTGTACCAGACTGACTCTAAATATATTACTTTCCAGTTTACAAAGCAGTTTCTGCAAGATAACCCTATGTACTAGTTGGTGCAAGCCTTGTGATGACTATTTGTTGTTGTTGAGTCATTTTTTGGTGGAGTCCAGCTCTTCATGACCCATTTTGGGGTTTTCTTGGCAAAGATACTGAGGTGGTTTGCCATTTCCTTCTCCAGCTTAATCTACAGGTTAGGAGACTGAGGCAAACAAGGTTAAGTGATTTGCCCAGAGTCACACAGCTAGTAAGTAGCAGAGGCTGGATTTGAGCACAGGAAGATGATTCCTCCTGACTCCTGGCCCAGCACTCTATCCACTGTGTAACCTAGCTGCCCTAATGCCCAGTTTACAAATGATGAAACTGAGGGTCAGAGACATTAAAGTGGTTTGGCCAAAGTCGCATAGCTGTGAAACACCTCAAGATTCTAAACATTGAACACTTGCCTCGCTATGCTGTCTCACTCCTTTTAAAAGCAGAACTTGGGGTACCATTAAATAACAAGCCTGGGATCTGGAAACCTTTTGTGTATCATTTTACTTTCATTTTGCCTGGAGACATGCTCCTGAAATGTCATGGATACAGCACCCTTTTACATACTGAATCAATTTCTATGTGCACCAGAGTCATGTAGCATCACTCTCACTTGGTTTATTTTGGTCTTAGGCAGTTCAGCAAATTAAACACCACCAATATTTATTAAATATCTACTATTTGTAAGGCATCACCTAAGAGCTAGGTGATTTGTGTCCATATTTTTTTCTTCAAAGAAAATAACCCTATAATTAAGATAGTCAGTTCAATGAATTAGCGCTCTCTCTCTCTCTCTCTCTCTCTCTCTCTCTCTCTCTCTCTCTCTCTCTCTATCTCTCCCTCTCTCTCTCCATTAGGTTGGTAGTTGATAAGAGATAAATGCTTGTTCAAGTGAATTGGATTAAGTGCCTACTATGGGCCATGTAGAGCTCTGGCTATATAAATATAAAAATGAAAGTGGCTTTGGAGGCCTAGGCCCAGGGCACAAAACCAACTACCTCTAATGCTTACTAACTTGTGACCTTGGCCAAGTCATTTCACCTCTTGTGCCGCTTTCTTCATTTGTCAAATGAGAGGGTTGGGTTAGATGGTCTCTGAGGTCTCTCCTATTGTCATATGAAATAATCCCTGTTCTCAAGGAGCTGACATTCTAAAATGTCATTGCATTCTAAATAAAATTACTTTAAAAAACTTGCTCAGAATTTCTAATGATTCTTGAATATATTGGTGTGAGCACAAGAAGCCTTTCCTGATCCCCTTTGGTTGTACAGCCTTCCTTCAGTTGTTTTCAATTTTTCCTGTATGTAGCTCATTTGGACAGGGCCATTTACCATTGTTTCCCCCATTAGACTATGAGCTCCTTGAGGGCAGGGATTGTCTTTTGCCTTTCTTTTTATCCCCAGCACTTAGCACAGTGCCTGGCACATAGTAGGTGCTTAACAAATGTTTATTGACTGACTAGGTCCTTCTTCCTTCTACTGATAGAGAAGCCCATGCCACTAGAGGGGCTTCATAAGTGATCATGACAAAAAATGAGTGACTTTCCTCGGCTCATAATAGGATTGTTGCTTTGGAGCAGGAAAGGACATTAGAGGTCATCTAGTTGAATACTCTCATTTTATAGAGGAGGAAGTTGCGGCCTTAAGAGTTCCAGTGAGTTGCTTAAGAACATAGGACACACATAGTTAAGAATAATATTAACTAGAATTCAAATATTGGCCACTATGTGCTAGTTTCTGTGCTAAGGACGGTAGAAATATTACGTCCTTTGATCCTCCCAACAATCCTTAGGAGGTTGCTATTATCATACCAATTTTACAGATGAGGAAACTGAGGCAAACAAAAGTTAAATGTCTTGCTCAGGGTCACACAGCCAGTACCTGTCTGAGGCCAGATTTGAATTCACTCCAGGTCTGGCACCCTATCCACTGCACCGCATAGCTGCCCCTGGGAGTAAGTGGCAAAAAGAGGCCAGTTGGAGCTCCAGTTTTGTGATGTCATGTTCAATGTCTTTCCACCACACCATGCTGCATCTCAATGGCTAGGTGAACGTCCCTCCTGACTCTAGGTCCTTTGATGTTCCTAAGCCTCCTTGTACTTACTGAAGTTGCCTTTTGGATAACAGATGCACATTGTCTGCTGGCAGGCCTGTAGCTGAGGCCTTTCTAGTTTGGTCAGACCTGGCAGATCTTCCACTCTGTTGGCATGGACTTTTAAAATCCCAGGGTCACTTTCATGCCGGCATTAGGCATTTGAGTAGCATTTTAGTGGAGGAGTGTGGAATTCAGTTGGCTATGAATAACTAGGCCAAAGGAAGCAACGTGATAATGGGCAGGTGGTGTCAAGGTTGGCTATGGAGTCAGAAAGACTTGGACTGGGGGCCTGCCATTCACATGGAATAGCTGTGGAATTATGAACACATCACTTCAGGTCTTTGAGTCCCTGGTCACTCCAAGTTACAGGGTAGGTAGGGAAGGATTCACTACACTGAGAAGGATGTCTTTACACTGATGTAATTGCAGACTTCATGTATAAACCAGACTTGAAGTCAGGATAGCTTAGGTTCAGATTTTCCCTCTGAGACTTATCAGCTGCTCAATACCATGGAAAAATCAGTACCATGACTATGGAGTCAGAGGACCTGTGTTCAAAGCCTGCCTCTGATGCTGATTACATGTGTAATGGAAAGGGATTCCACATGGGAATCCCCCATATTGAAGATGTCACAAGTAGGGCAAAGCAATTTCACCTTCTTGGGCCTCAGTTTTCTTACCTAGAAAATGAGGGAGTTGGAATATAGAGCTGTGACCCTGGACAAGTAACACCTTCCATGTGCTTCTGGCAGGTCTAACAGTATGCCACCTATGTTTTTTCTAAATTCACCATCTTTCTAGACGTCTGTTTACTCCTTTGCACAACAGGAGGGTAATGCTAGATGGTTTTTGAGCTTCCTTTCTAGCTCTTAACCTTATACTCCTCAGTCATATACCAGTTCAGATCTGTGTGGATAAGGAGGTTTCCACATGGGAATTTCCTCTTCTATAAGTATCACCGATACTTCTGGTATTTATGTGATGAATAATCTTATCTTTGAAAATATCATTGCTAATTTGGAGGGGGTTAGCATGGGACAGTGGAAAGAGCACTGAGGCTAAAGTCAAAGGCCTTGATTAACTAAAGTCCCACTCTGACTCTTACACACTTCATGAACCTAGGCAAATTACATGACCTTCCTAGATCATGTCAACTAGCATTCTTTAAGCACTTACTATGGGCTGCTGTCAGTTCCTGTATCTATAAAATGAAGAAGTTGTACTCAATGGCCTATGATGTCCATTTCAGATTAAAATCTATGATCTTGTGATCCAGTAATTATGACTGAAAATTACGTAGCTCTTTAAAGCTTGTAAATCATAGAAGTCATCTCATCTGAGCCTTACAACAGCCTTGAGAAGTAGGTATTGCTGTTATTATTATTTCCATTTGACACGTGAGAATACTGAGGCAAAGAATGATAGAGTAATGCCCAGTTTCACACAATACTGAGGTGGAATTTAGAATGAGGTCTTCTTGGCTCAGAGGCTGGCCCTCTGCCCACTACATATGTTCATTAATTATAGAATCCATTTTGCATCACTTAAACTTGCTGGATTTTATGGTATTTTGCTATTAAAAATGTTATGCTAGTTAGTCTAGCATGACAGCTAACCCAGGAAAGAGAGATGTTACTGTGAAATGAAAAGTTTCTGTTGGTTTAGAATTACTATAGTAACTAGTTTGATAATTGCTAGGAGCCTTCTTTGTCTTGAATTTTAAGACAAGTTCCAGAAGAGTTCATCAGCCAATTAATTAATCACTTGTTAAATGCCTACTGTATATACCAGATATTGTGGTATCAAATTCAAGTAGACTTGGGATCCCTGCTGGCCATATGTTGACTTAGAAAACCACAAATTCACATTACCTATGTTATATTGCATTTTTATTTATTTTTTTAAACATTTCCCAAATACATTTTAATCTGGTTCTTCCTAGAATTTTGCTGATGAGCTTCATGTCTCTGTCTAGATGATGGGAATGCAAATAAAATTAATGAAATAATGATCCCTGTTCTCAAGGAATTTATAGTCTAACAGAGGACACAAGAAGAATATATAATTGTAAATAGAATAAAAATGAAGGGACCAAATATCAATAAATATAAAGTAGTCAAACATGGTATAGTTTGAGAGGGAGGACATTAGTAATGGGGCATTGGTGGTCAGGAAAGGCTTCATGTGGAAGGTAATCCTGGAGTTGCATCTTGATGCAAAAGAGGCATCCTCTGGGGGGTGGGGGCTAAAGAGGAAGTACGTTCTGGACACTGACCAAAACCAGCAAGATCGAGCAGCTCTCTATAAAATAATCCTTCATTTGGCAAGTTAACTGGGTTTCCTACCAGTCAGATATGAGGTAGGAAAAGAAAAAAGATTCTACTAATATATCTTTGGTGCTAAACTCTGGAATTAAAATAACAGCTGCTTGATAGGACTTTTTGCTTAAGTAACAGTTTCTCAAGGAAGGAAAAAAGAAATGATTAAAGTGGGAAGGTTCCTCCAGGCAAACCAAATAACTGTCACTTTAGCAAGTTAGCAGGATCAATTAGGGAGGTGAAAATGGGCATTATGCACTGTAAGAATGGAGCTTCTCAGATCCCCAGGAGCTCAGGCAACAGTATGTTGAGTCTCAGAATGAAACTGTTCTTGGCTTTGAAGCACATTTGTCTAGATCTATTTTCTGAGTGGGAAAAAATGGGGGGGGTAGAGATCCCATGCTGAATCAATGTTCTTCTCTTGCTAATTTGGCAGGTGATGGTCGCAGAAGCCTTGGATATTTCCAGAGAAACCTATTTGGCTATTTTGATGGACAGATCCTGTAATGGTCCAGTGCTGGTTGGCAGCCCCCAGGGAGGAGTTGACATTGAAGAGGTGGCAGCCACCACTCCAGAACTAATTTTTAAGGTATATTTAAATTAAAGAAAATTTGTTTCTTTGATTATACTGGTGAAAATATGAAAAAATAAAAGCACAGAATCTGCTTGTCGGGGTAATGAGGTGGTGCAGTGGATAGAGCACCGGCCCTGGATTCAGGAGGACCTGAGTTCAAATCCAGCCTCAGAAACATAACATTCACTAGCTGTGTGATTCGGGGCAAGTCACTTAACCCCATTGCTTACCCCCCCCCAAAAAAAGAATCTTCTTGTCACCTCACCTACTCAGGTATCTTCAGTGGCTCTCCCTTTCCTTTATGTTAAAGCACAGATGCCTTACCCAGGCATGAAAAAAAATGTGAAATGACAGTTTTTTCTTTTTTTGCTGTCTCTTACCTTTACATTTTAGTAATTTCCATTTAATTACCTCCTCCAATTAAACTATTTTTTTTAATCCCCTCTCCTTTTCTCTACATAGAGATATATTTAGATTGCCTGAGCTAATTGAATATACCAGGGAAGAAGTATGTCAGAGTGGACAGAGGGCTGGCCTTGAAACCAAGAAAACCCAGGTCTCTCCTCTGCCCCATTCTGGCTGTGGGACCTTGTGCAGGCAGTCAACCTCTCAGTGCCCAAGTGATTTCCTAAGACTCATAGGAGAGATGCTAACCATCATTGAAAGAGGAGGCTTCCTCACTTGGTATTATCACTGGGAAAATCACATATTTTGTTTCCATCTCAATTTTTAAAAAGCTATTATAAAAACTTAAGTTGACTATTTCTGTGTAGAATTCAAAATGAACCACTTGCTTTTTATTCTTATTGCTTCCAAGACTACAGAGCCAGATTTATGTTGTGTTGTGAGGATTTCACAGGCTTGTACACATTGTCTAATGTAATCCTTCCAAATGAGTTAGCTAAAATGAGACAAGATGCCATCTCCACCAGGGTGTGCTGTGGCAATGTAAGTTAAGGATGTTTAAACCTCAAACCCTGTTCTCTGTGTGTGTGTGTATGTGTGTGTGTGTGTGTGTGTGTGTGTGTGTGTGTGTGTGTGTGTGTGTATTCCCAAGTGAGGAAGCTCTCATGGCTCATGGAGGTTGGCACCTTGTCTGCAGCCTAGAGTCTTAGAGTTTCCTACAGGGATGAAAGGGCAAATGACTTATCCAGGGTCACATAATCAGAATATGACAGAGACAAGACTTGAACTTAGGTCTTTGTGGATGTGAGATCAGCTCTGTATGTCATTGCCCTTATTAATTGTTTCAAAATATATAACCTTATTTAAATAGGAGCACATAAAAGCTATATGGGAAAATGTGTTTTTTTCATTGAAAAATGTTTCTTGTTGGCCATGGTTAAGCATACCTAAAATCCCAGCTTATAGCAGAAGCAATTACTTGAGGCCAAGAGCTCTGAGGTATAGTGAGCTAAGCCAACATGATTGTAGCATTACATTCAACATTATATATGGTGCATTTAGAGAAGTAGGTGGTCACTAGGTTGCTTAAGGACAGGTAAATTAGACCTGGTCAGAAATGAAAAAAGTAGAGGAGGTAAAACTATGACTCTTTGCAGATGAAATGAACATATCCTTGCCTAAAAGACTATTTTATGGAGAACTCACATAAGGCAAGATCTCATGTGGTGGTCAGAAGAAACTATACAAGGACACTCTCAAAGTTTCTCTTAAGGCCTTCATAATTGATTGTGTGACATGGGAGATACTGGAACAGGACTGCCCAGCATTACATATCTTCATCAGAGAAGGTGCTGTGCTCTATGAGCAAAGCAGAATTGAAGTAACTCAAAAGAAATGCAAGATGCACAAATTTAGAGAATCCACCTCAAATGTTCTCATGGACTATTTATGCCCCACCTGTGATAGAGCATTCTGAGCTCATATTAGTCTAATCAGCCACAATCCGATGTTTTGTAACTTGACTCTAACATAGTGGTGTCATTTTGGCCCTCTCTGAGAACTGAAGACAACAACCATAACCATAACAGTGGTATACTTAGGGAATCCCAGAGAATCAACTAAAAAAAAAAACTAGTTGAAATGATTAATAACTTTAACTAAGTTGCAGGACATAAAGTAAAACCACAAAAATCGTCAGCATTTCTATATATTACCAAAAAAGTCCAGCAGCAAGAGATAGAAAGAGAAATTCCATTTAAAATAACTGACAATATAAAATACTTGGGAATCTGACTGCCAAGACAAATCCAGGAACTACGTAAACATAATTACAAAACATTTTTCACACAAATAACAACTGGAAACAAATATTAATTGCTCTTGGGTGGGCTAAGCCAATACAATAAAAATGACAGTTCTATCTAAATTAATGAATTTATTCAGAACCATGCCAATCAAACTACCAAAAAATTATTACACAGAGCTAGAAAAAATGATAGCAAAATTCATCTGGCAGAACAAAAAATCAAGAATATAAAGAGAATTCATGGGAAAAAAATGTGAAGGAAGGTAGCCTAGCTATACCAGATCTCAAACTGTGTTATAAAATTATCAAAACTATCTGGTACTAGCCAAGTGGTATTATCAGTGCACCAGACTCAGTAGTAAATGAATGTAGTAATTTAGTGTTTTATAAACCCAAAGACCCAAGATTTGGGGACACAAATTTACTATTTCACAAAAACTGATGGGAAAATTGGAAAACAGTATGGCAGAAACTACGTATAGATCAACATCTCACAACATATACCAAGATAAGGTCAAAATAGGTACATGATTTAGACATAAAAGGTGATACCAAAAGCAAATTAGGGGATCATAGGATAGTTTACCTGTCATCTATGGATCAGGGAAGAATTTAAGACCAAACAAGAAATAGAGTGCACTACAAAATACAAAATTAATTTTGATTACATAAAATGTAAAAAGATTTTGCACAAACAAAAATAATGCAACCAGTATTAGAAGGAAAGCAGAAAACTGGGGGAAAATGTTTTTAGCGAGTATCTCTCATAAAGTCCTCATTTCTCAAATATATAGAGAACTGAGTCAAATTTATAAGAATACAAGTCATTCCCCAATTGACAAATGGTCAAAAGATATGAACAAGCAGTTTTAGACAAAGAAATTAAAGCTACATAGATAGTCATATGAAAATTTGCTCTAAATCACTGTTGATTAGAAGAATGAAAATTAAAACAACTCTGATGTACCACTTCACAACCAATCAGATTGGCTAATAGGACAGAAAAGGAAAATGATAAATGTGGGAGGAGGTGTGGGACAACTGGGACACTAATACACCATTGGTGGCATTGTGAACTGATCCAGCCATTCTGGATAGCTCTTTGGAACTATGTCCAAAAAAACTATAAATCTCTGCATACCTTTTGATCCAGCAATACTAGGTCCATATCCCAAAGAGATTTTTAAAAGCAGAAAATCCTTATGTGTAGAAAAATATTTATAGCTGTTCATTTTGTGTTGATCAAGAATTGGAATTTGAAGGGATGTCCATTAATGGGTGAATGGCTGACCAAATTGTGGTATATGATTGTAGTGGAATATTATTATGCTATAAGAAATGGCAAGCAGCATGATTTGAGAAAAACCCGGAAAGATTTACATGAACTGATGCAGAGTGAAGTGAGCAGAACCGGGAGAACAGTGTATACAGTAACAACAATATTTTATGAGGAACAGCTGTGAGTAACTTAGCCATTTTCAGTACTACAGTGACCCAAGACAGTCCCAAAGGACTCATGATGAAAAATGCTGTCTGCCTGCAAAGAAAGAACTGATGGAGTCTGAATGCAGACTGAGTCATAATATCTTCGATTTCTTTCCTTCTTTCAGGTTTTTGTTTTGAGTTTTCTTTACAAAATGACTAATATGGAAATAGGTTTTACATGATTGCACATGTATACCCTGTATCAAATTTCTTACTATTTCAGGGAGGGAGGAGGGGAAAGAGGGAATGTGAATTTGGAACTCAAAACATTAAAAAAATCTTAAATGTCAAAAATTGTTTTTACATGTAATTGGGAAAAGTAAATATTATTAAAAAAAAAGAAATGAAGCAAGTCCAAGTTTAAAGTAGGACCAGGCCCAAGAGTAATCCTAGGCTGTAAGCCTGCTTGAGATAGGTAGATGCAGGCTTTTTTCCCCCTTAAGTTTATTTTCAAAAGATAAGCTTGCTTTACAATTTAAATACAAACCTGATTACATATATATTGGGAATGACTAGTATTACTAAGTGAACTTTAATGTCAGTATATCAATTTACTGCTTCCTCTTTCTGTCACACCCTTCTAAACCTCTTTTTTTTTCCAATTTCTCTAAATCCATTTAAATTTTTTTTTCTTTTGCTATAGTTACTGTTACCCCTCTCATTCTTTTCTTAAATTGGTCAATGGATCTTTATCTGAAAGGATCTGAAGACCTCTTCCCTTTCTGATCACCTGCACCCTGAAGCTTTATAGCCTGTCAATTCATATTGCTACAATGAAATATTGGTCAAGCATTTGGTGCAGTGCCTCACACATAGCAGGTGCTTAATAAATGATCCTTCCTTCCTTCCTTCCTTCCTTCCTTCCTTCCTTCCTTCCTTCCTTCCTTCCTTCCTTCCTTCCTTTCCTTCTTCATCCCTCCCTCCATTCCTTCCTTGCTCGCTGCTTCCTTCTTTCTTTTCATATTCATCCTAAAATATAGTTTCCACAACTAAACACACTATTCTAGGTGTATGTGAATAGGGCAGAGTGCAGTGGACTTATCACATCTCCACTTCTAGACTCCATGCCTTTAAAAAAATAACTTTAATATGTCAGACATCAAATGAAGCCAGTTAAATATGCATTAAAATTACATTTAATTGAACAAATTTCACTGTATTAAATGATCAGAATTTTTTATTCCTTCCTTTGAAGTTTCCATCATGATTCTTCCTTTATCCATTTCCATTCCCTTTTCCTCCTCCAAGGTAATATTTTGCTCCCTGCTTTTTTTTTTAAATCTGTTTTCATAAAGATTTTTCAAGGTTTTTTTTAATGTTCTTTATCATTGTCAATCTTAATTACGTTATGGTATTTTCTAATATTAAAATTAAATTTATTTAAACTTTCTTTTCTTGTTATCTTTCAGTTTTTTTGAATTAAAAATAATGGTGGTATAAAAATCCTTCAGTAGATCTCTCTCTCTCTCTCTCTCTCTCCCTCTCTTTCTCTCTTTAATTTTATCTTATCTTCAACACATTGTTCTAAATCACTGCAATATTTTTGGGTCCCAGTTTTGTCAACCAACATGTCAGCTGTCCATCTGCTGTCTATAGATTTGATAAATGCCTTTGTCCCAGTCATTGATAAAATTGTTGAACAGAATCAGGCCAAGGAAGGACTGTGAGTGTTCATGCCACTTACTAGAGATCTTCCTCCAGTGGAGGAATTACCACTCTTCCCATCACATTGTTTAATCTTCTCAAACTATCTGTCTTGTTATCTAGCCCATGTTTCTCATTCTTCTCCCTAACTAGAAGATGAGGGACCTTGGCCCATCCTTTGCTGACGTCAGTGTCTACCAAAGTGTAAGACTTGATATTCACCTTGATTATATTTCACCTTCCTCTATTCAGGGTGCCCCTCTCACCTATTGCAATATATTTTTTTCAATCCTGACCATTGTGCCCATGTTAGCTATTCCTTCTAATTTTGTTTCTACAAATTTGACAGCCATTCCTCTCTATCTAATAGCTATAAGACAAAAAAATGAATGAAGTCAAATATTTTGAAGAACACTTGTGGTCATTGTCTCCCTTTTTAGATGTTCAACAACCATCCCTTTAGTAATGTGTTACAGGATTCTGCCAGAAATTACAGACAAGCACATTAGCCTATAGCTTGCAGGCTTCTGTTGTAATAATTAAAAAGATCAGGATATTGTCCACCTTTTCCATTCTCATGCCACCTCTTGCAATCTCCACCTCTGTCAAGAATGGGTGACCATAGCTCAGCAATTCCACATGCTAATTCTTTTACAACCTTCGGTTGTGCTTCATCTGGAATAGGTGACTTGATCTCATCCAGGGCAGATAAGTGTCTCAGCTTGACACTTATCTTGGGCTTCAGTTTTCTGTTGGCTACTTTTCTCCATTCTTTGCAGTCGAGAAATCATTCTCCTTTCCAGAGAAAATAGAAGCTACATTAGAATTGCGTCGCACTGTTTTCCCATCATTATCCATTATGATTGTTCTATCTTCCTAGGCTAGCAGTCCTATCATTTCTTTTATCTTCCAGCTTCTTTCCTTCCCTTTTTGTCTTCTTCAGAATAATTTCCTTCTATCTTCAGAATTTAATTATTTTTTAATTTTTAAAAATTTATTTTATTATTTTATTTTGATTTATCAACAATCACTTCCATGTGATTTTGAGTTTAAAATTTTTCTCCCCCTTCCTCCCCACCACCCTCCCCAAGACAGCACAAATCTGATATAGGCTATACATTTACATTCCTATTAAACATTTTCACATTAGTGATGTTGTAAGTAAAAATTAAAACCAGTAGGAGGAACCGTCAGAAAGAGGAAACAAAACTCAACAGAAGAAAAAAAAATAGCAATTCAACTTCCATAGTTCTTTATTTGGATGTGGATAGCATTTTCCATCACAAGGCCTCTGGAGATGTCTTAGATCCTTGTATTGCTGAGAAGGTTAAGTTTATCAATATTAGTCATCTCACGATGTGACTGTTATTGTGTACAGTGTTCTCTTGGTTCTGCTCACTTCACTAAGCATCAGACCATACAAGTCTTTCCAGGTTTTTCTGAAGTCAGCCTGTTCATCATTTCTTATAGCACAATAGTGTTTCATTACATTCATATACCACAACTTGCTCAGCCATTCCCCAATTGATGGGCATCCTCTCAATTTCCAATTCTTTGCCACCACAAAAAGAGCTGCTATGAATATTTTTGTACATATGGGTCCTTTTCCCAGTTGTATGATGTCTTTGGGATATAAGCCTAGAAGTGCCACAGAATTTAATTCTTGAGAACATCTCCTTTTTATAGGGATGGCTTCCACTGTGGAATTTCAGGCAATACAATTCTCTCTTTATTTTTACTGAAACTTTTGTAACACGCTCTCGCAAAGTCTAGGGGTGGCACATCAGACATTTCACTTCATCAGCTAGGTCCTTCTTGTTGAACATTTTGAATCTTTGAATGTTGAAAATACACATGAAGACAAATGAAGAATTTGTTAGCTCTTCTGCTTTTCATGAAGAAAGAGTATTCCAGGAGATGTCTGGATAATGTAGGTCCTCTATCATTATTATATAATATTATCTCACTTACGATTTGATTCAAAAAGTCTTCATCTATTTCACTTTTTTTCGTTTCAGATATCCTATAGTTTACTCCTACAGTGGTACTGCTTCTGCTTTTCCCTGCATTGATCTTCACCAACATATTCTCCATCATACTCCCCTTTTTATTTCTAGATTTCTTAAAAGTAATTTTTTTCATTTGTAATGTAATTTTTACTCTGTAACATCCCTGCCATGTATGTGTGTATACACACACACACACACACACACACACACACACACACACACACACACACACATACACAGTTTTTAATTTGTAAATCTTGCATCTTTCACAAAAAAAGATTTTCATTCTGGAAAACTGGTCCATTTCCAAAGCCATTTATGAATTTCATTGCACCATTTCTCAATGATATTCACAAAGGTAAATTTGCCTCTGTGCATTAGCATCTCTAGTTCATTCTCTTTGTTAGCAGACCTTATGCTTTGGGCATGTGCATATAGACATAAGGCCATGGGTTTTATTGTTGAATTCTTTCTTGGATTCTTCTTCTTCCTCCTTTTTTTTCTTCATTATATTTATTTAGTACTTTAAGGTTTGCAAAATATTTGCAAAACTAATTTGCAAAAGAGTTTGCAAAACTAATTTGATCCTCACTACAACCTGGTTAAGTAGGTCCTGCTATTTTCCCCATTTGTAAAATGGGGAAACTGAATCTGTGATAGCTTATTGACTCGTCCAGGGTCATATGGTCTCACTTCTTCCCCACTCCAGGTCCAAAGTATTAGCCCCTATGCCAATTAGCTGCCTGTCTTTCTTGGATTCTAACTCCTGTGTTTGCTTGGACATTTCTATTACGATTTTTCTCCTTATGCTGTAGCTGCTTTTCATTATGGTACTTAGGTTGATGGATGCACAGAGGCAGTTTTCCCCCTTGTCCTTCCTTTTTCAGTGTATGCCTTTCATGATCAGATCTGTAAGAATTGAGGCAAAAGTAGTTTCACAAATATTTCCCATTGAACCTAGCAACCTCAGAAAAAAAAATAAAGACTTAATAAGCTGACATCCATTATACCTTTGCAGTTAATCAGGGATCACAATTTAAGCTGCTCATTTACTATAGGAATGAGTGGAATAATGGAGGAGAAAGGTGGCTTAGGTTCTTTGGAAGAATAGCACCATATAAATCTAAGATCACATTAACAGTCCATGATGATGATAATTATTATGTTTAAATATTAAAGTAATGTTTAACCTATGTAGGAGAAGTGCTAAACTTAGCAGCAACATTGGGCAGGAGAACTATGATTTGGAAGCCTTCCAAGAGATGTCATAAAAATTAACTGACTAAATATTCGTCAATGCCATCTGTATGGTAATTAAAAGTGAAAACGGGTGTCATAGTGTCTTGTCAGCATGCCACCCTGAAGAATTATATAGTTTTGGGGAGGACTGCTTCCTAGATGGTATGGTAATTAAAACATACCCTATAGGCAACTCCAATAGCACCACTCAGAGAATTTTGGCAAATGGCCAGGCTTTAATTACTAATTTGCAAATATATACTGAGTGCTTTTCTTTTGAAGTTGTAAATCTTTCCAACTGAATAACTTAATTCTATTTATTCATTCCATTCTAATAGGAGGAAATTGATATATTTGAAGGACTGAAGGAGAGCCAAGCACAGCGGATGGCAGAAAATTTAGGCTTCCATGGCGCCCTGAAAACTCAGGTATGGTAAAGCAATATGGTCACGATGTATACACTTTATTTCTGATAACACTGATAATTAGTTGGTCGGTTTCAGTTAATTAATTCACTTGAACTTGAATTGTCCAACACAACCAGGCCTAAAGAATGCATGGTGTTTTAGACTCATTTGAATTGGATATGATGAAGACAAACATTTATCTTCTTCTTGTGAAGAAAGTGCTTAATAAATGATGATTGATTTGAGTTGATATAACAAATCTATAATATCTACATAGGTTTTAAAAAATGATGTTATTAAGCACTCTCCCCCTGTTGTTCTTAGAAGGTAGGGAGCAATTGTCTATCTCTGGTAGATAAGTTCATTTGGAACATAGGAAATTTACATAATTTGTTAATTTACATAACTAATGGACATTTTAGATCAGCATTTATGTTATGTACCAAAGTTATATTTCTTTTTTAAAACCTCCTGCATTCTGCTAATTTAGTGGGAAAGAAATACAATTTCTTTCAGTTATGCCCTTGTCAATTAGTATATATATGATGTCCAGCACTGTGTTAGGTACTGTATGGGTAATGCTGTAGAAAAATAGTTATCTGTCCCCAAAGTCCTTACACTCTAGTTGCAAAATGATGACATGGAAAAATTAGAAAACAATTAAGTCCCTGACTGATGATCAGAGATTGGTGTGAGGTAAAGTAGTTGCCAGAGATATGTGACTAATGATGTTAATAATAGCTCACATCTAAATAGTACTTTTCTAAGCATTTTTCTCACAACTCATCAAGGTAGGTAGTACAGGCATTATCATCTCCATTTTACAGATGAAGAAACTGAGGTTCAACGGTGGTAGATGATTTGCCAGAAATGGTCACAAAGCTAACATGTGTCAGAGCTGGGGTTTGATCGTAACTCCTCTGGCTCCAAGGTCACTGAGGAAGAGGGAGGCCAGGAATAGGGATCTGACAGATGAAAGGAACCAGAAAAGGAGGAGGGAAGGTGTTTCAGGCCAAGTATAGAACATGTATCAAGGTAAGAAGGTAGGAATGAGTAAGCTATGACATGGAAAACAGGGACGCTGAGCTAGGAGAATAGCAGAGCAATCTAGGCCTTGTCCAGACTCTGGTGGATACCCTGATGCTCAGCCTCCTCTCAGCCTGAGTGTTTTTTCCTGATGTGGGAACCACCGTTCCATTCATATGATCTGAGAGCTCACCTGCTGTCGAAAGGCACTGGGGGGAAGATGGCAGAGTAAAAGCAATGACTTGCTTGAGCTCTCTCCCCAACCCCTTCAAATACCTGTAAAAAAATGGCTCTAACCAAAAATTCTAGAGCAAAAGGCACTGGGGGGCTGGTACCATATGACCTCTGACCTGGAAGCGTTAGAGAAACGTGTACTACTGCTGCTGCTGCCAGTGATAATAGCATTTTTACAGATCTAATAGATCTATAGATTTAAAAGGACTTTACATATGTTATCTTATTTGATCCCATGATGTAGATGCTATTATTATCCCCATAGCTGAGGAAATTGGGGCTCTGAGAGGACTCATGCCTTGCCAGCAATTTAAAGATAGTAAGTACTTAAGGCAAGATTTGAACTCGGGCCTTCCTGACTCCCAACACCCTCTTCACTGTGACACCTTGCTGCCCAGGAGGCCATATCAAGAGGGCAAAAGGTGAACAAAGCATTTATTAAGCAGCTTCTCTGGGCCAGGTGCCACGCTAAGAGCTTTCCAAATCTCTCATTTGATCCTCACAGCCACTCTATGAGGCACGTGCCATTACTATCCTCATTTTAAAGTCAAGTTAACTAAGGCAAACAAAGGCTAAGTGATTTTCCCAGTGGCTTATGCAAGATCACACAACCAGTAAATGCCATCAGTCAAATTTGAGCTCAATTCTTCCTGACTCCACCTAGCTACCTCATGCGAGCTTTCACTAATCTCTAGTATCCGCTTTTGCCAAATTTACGCAATGAAATTCCACTCTAGGGACAACCCCCCTGCACCAGGAATCTGTTCCTAGACAAATCCCCCTGGGTACTACTACACACTCTCACGATTTCCACATAGTTGTGTTGCACTCCATTGCTCTTTCCCTCTTGTCCTAGTCTCGTGCTATGATTCTTTTTCCTCTTTAGTCTCCCGCTCTTTGCATCATCAATCAATCAATCAGCCAGCCAACGAGTATTCTTATTGGACATGTGCTTTGACACAGGCACCTCATGGCGGTGTCTCCCATTGCCACACCAAATAGGAATCATCGGAATTAAGCAAATGTCTTGAAGCTCCTATGTAGCATGGGGAGTAATTACCAATTACAGGCAGTTGAAAGCTGTCTTCACCTCACATGTACAGCTGACATCCCCTGAGTCAAGCACACACAATCAACTGAAGATGGGATCAGAAGACCTCAGTTTACACCAGCTTGGTCATTTACTTAGCTGTGTGACCTTAGACAAGTAATTTCTCCTCACTGAATCTCCGTTTCCTCTAATACAAAATGGTGGAAATGATATTTGAATTTGTGTCTTCCTGACTGGGACACCTAGCTGCCTCTTTTCCTCTTCCCTCCTTCACACATGCACATTTGCATACATGTACACACACACACACACACACACACACACACACATATACATATGTAATATATGTATATTAGCTTTTAAATTTTTTCATGACTCTAATTTGACTTTTTAACCTTCCTAAACAAAAAAAACCATGCCATTTTTAATGGAAAATTACTCAATATGTTTCCCAGATTTAGATTCAATGCCATAAATATTTGTTAAGAAAAAAGTAAAAGTCAGGAAAAGCTCTGGTAGAACTGGTGTTTTGGCCTTCTGTACTGACTTCTCAATTATCAGCTACATTACTAATTTCCAAAAACATATGCTTCAATAAATTAGCAACATGTGCCTGCAGAATTTAGTCCAATGAAGGATCTGAGGGGTCAAAGCAATGTAAGACCACCCAACTCCCCTGAGGGCTGTTCATACATATGGTTATCTTTGAAAGAGCCTCTCGTTCAGTGGGGTACAAACATGCTGTATCATAGGGTTTGTGGTCTCTTTTTAAGAGTGATCTTGTGGAGTGTTGAAGAAACTTCCCCACTCAGAAGCAATTTTGTCAACCCCAAAAGTGTTGTTTCTATGTTTGACCCCAAAAATGCTGTGAAAAAATCTCTCTCTCTCCCCTCTTTTTTCTCTCTATTCATCTATCCAACCATCTATCCATCTATTTGTCTGTATATCCATCTATGTATCTATGTATCTATCTATCTATCTATCTATCTATCTATCTATCTATCTATCTATCTATCTGTCTGTCTGTCTGTCTGTCTGTCTGTCTGTCTGTCTATCTGTCTATTTGTCTGTCTGTCTACACATCTCTGTGTCAATATACATGTAAAGCATGGTGATAGTCACTGCTACAGTATTGTTTTTTATTTGATGAGCTTCCCAAAATCACAAAATGCCTTGTTAAAGTGATGTGTGAATACAATTCAATCCAATAAACATTTATTAAGTACCTATGATTTTCAGAGTAAAAAGATGCCTCAGAAGGTAAAAAGCTCAATGAGTCTCAGCCACCCCCTTTTCTCACGAAGCTTACAATCTAGTAGCATATGTAGTGAAGTTAGCATATGAAAATATTCCAGTGTAGAAGTCACTGTCCCTAAAGTCAGAGTTCAAATCCCACTTTGAATGCTTGTTACTTGTGTGATCGTGGGTGAGTTCCCCCCCTCCTCCCTGCACCTCCATTTCCTGAGAAAAATCAATGAATTGAAATAGATGGCATTGAATATCCCTTCCCACTCTAAAACTATGATCATCTGATCTCTAAAATGAGTGCTTTGGACTAATGGCCTGTAAAGCCGCTCTCACCCAGCTCTATTCTCCTCTGATCTTCTGCCAGTACTTTGCACCAAGTTTTCAGGCTTGAAAATTTAAATAATAAGCTCTATTGACAACAAGACAGCAATTTAAACAAAATATATGGCCTCTTTTGTGAAACAAATAAAAAAGACCTAATGATATTAAATGGGATTAAATTTCTGAATATTTTCCTACAGTTTCCTAGGCCTTACAAATGCATGTTCTAAATGCTGTCTCTAGCAGAGTCTCTAATCACAAATGCCCAGGGTTGGAAGGGACCTTGGTAGCCAATGAGTGCCCTCCCAAGAATCCACTCTACACTACACCACAGTCAATGTGTGGTCATCCAACTTTTGCTTGAAAATCTCTACCTCCTGGGGCAGAGTATTTGACTTTTTGATGGCTCTCATTGTGAAGGTAGTTCTTCCTTACAGGTGAGCCTAAATTTGCCTACCTCTGAAGTTTCCACCCACTGTTGTGCCCTCTGGGGCCAAGCAGAAAAGTCAGAATCTCCCTTGATGAGTTCTTCAGCTGTTTGAAGCCAGCTGGGCCCCTCCCCAACCTGCCATGTTCCAAGTCTTCTCTTTTCTAAGATGAAAACCCCTTCCTTTAACTAATACTCATGGGTCATGAGGAGGAAAAAGAATTAAGCATGACAGTGAGGTCTCAACTCTCTTAACAACAAAATCAGAACTCACTAAATGAATGGCTTAGCAGTTCAACCATCTAATCCTTTACCTTGCAGGAAAGGAATGTTTGCCCAGGGCCAGGGACATAGCTAGCAACAAACTCCAATGACTTCCCTTCCTTCCTGCTTTCACATCAAAGCTGCCAGTTGGGAAGTCGGGATGCTCAGTCCTTACAACTAGCTGTGATCATCTCTAAGAACCAAGAGAAGACTGTAAGGGAAGAAGGGAGGCAAAGATGGTACTCTAATAGACAGTATGAAAAAATGTCACAGCCAAAGCTGTGCAAGCCATGCACCTTGTTATGTTTCATCATAGGCTTTGAACACGTTAGCATAGTTGAGGGTAACAGTATTGGAAGGGGAAAGCTGCTCACAGTAGCCTTTGGATGGACTTCTGTATAGATGTCACTGAAGAGCTGCTTTTTCAGCTTCATTTGGATAAAACAGAAAAATTCCCAGGGCTCTTACTTTCCTTCCTGGTAACAGCGTCTTTTTTTTTTTTTTTTGCTTTTAGGCAATTGGGGTTAAGTGACTTGCCCAGGGTCACACAGCTAGTAAGTGTCAAGTGTTTGGTCTGAGGCCGGATTTGAACTCAGGTCCTCCTGACTTCAGGGCTGGTGCTCTATCCACTGTGCCACCTAGCTTCCCCAAATGAGATCCCTTTCTTTTTTTTTCTTTTTTTGCTTTTTGGTGAGGCAATGGGGTTAAGTGACTTGCCCAAGGTCACACAGCTAGTAAGTGTTAAGTGTCTGAGGCTGAATTTGAACTCAGGTCCTTCTGACTCCAAGGCCAGAGCTCTATTCACTGCACCACCTAGCTGCCCCAACAGCTTCTAATAAACATTAGATAATTGATTTTATTTTGTCTTCACAGATTATGGGCTTGGATTGATGAGCTTAATCACTATGGCTTTTTATATAAAAATTATTTTGATTCTAGCATACTAGAGAAAATACAGGCATTATAAACTCTGAAAATCATGTTTACCTTTGCTGAAATGGAACTTGTTTGCATTAGTGATTACAGCTCATGCTGTGGCATAATCCAGTTAATAGGACATGATAATTTACACAAAGCTTAATAGCACTCTTAGACTAGTGTGAAAATAATGTATTTTTTTTTATAATGCTCTGGGCTTGTGTCTGAAGGAAGTTTTGATAATTCCTCTTAATGAATAGCAGTTGATATTCAAATTGTTATTCTGGTTTGTGTCCCTGCAGATAGCCTTACACAGAACAGAGATGTAACTTTCTATTTTTAATGTTTCATTACCATAGCAAAATGCATTTTCTTTCACTTTTTGTGGGCTAATTCCATCTCACTTGATCACATTTAGGCTGCAGATCAAATTAAGAAGCTGTATAATCTCTTCCTGAAAATTGATGCTACTCAGGTTGAAGTGAATCCCTTTGGTGAAACTCCAGAAGGACAAGGTAAAAAATTAGAGAAAACAAATGAATACATTCAAATGCTTTATTTATGCAAACTATAAATTAAATTGCATGGAACACTGTAGCAACAGCTTTGCATTAATTTAATTTTGTAATTTAATTTCTGCCGTAGTCACAAATACTCCCGTGATGGAATTTAACATTTCAATACTTTTGGTTTGTTAGCATCCAAATACTAAGCATTGGATCAATTGCTTGAATTGCTTAGACACATCATCCTTTCTCCCTTCCTCCAGACATTTGTTTGTTATGACACAAATGTATTTCAGAACCAGGAAGGGCTGCACTATCAAACTTAGTTTGTCTAATATTTTTGGTTTTGGAACTAAGTCTCTCTAATCTTATCCAGGCTGGAAAGGCAGTGGTCACCCATGGGCCTAATCCCACCACTGTAGTATGGGAGCCTTGACCTGAGATTCTAACCTAGGTGATTTTGCTCCTTATTAGTCATCAAAGTGATCCTCAGTGCCTGAGAGATCACCATATTGATTCCAGACTTAGTGAAGAGCTGTAATTGGCTTAGCCCATTTCATTTCAGAATTCCCTGGCTCTCATGATCTACCAGCACTAGCTTCCTTGATAAGAAGGATTGCTCACATGTGCTACCATGCCCAGCTTATCCAAACATTCTTAATTGACCTCAGTCAAGATTTTGTCTTACAGTCTCTGGGGCATCAAGGGTGACACCTCTAGGTCCAATATATTAGCCAGAATATTTTCTTCATGTGATCATAGATGTAGACTTGGAAAAGGTACTTTTAAAGTCATATGGTCTAACTCTTTATTGCATAGATGAATAAGTCAGGACCAAGAGAGGTTAAGTGACTTGCTGAAAGTCACACAGGTTATAAATGGGAGCAATTGGAATTCAAATTCAGATCCTATGATTCCAAGTTCATTACTTTATTTTCCTTGTTATACTCCTCTGCTTCCTCTTGATCAGTTAATCACCGTTCATTAAGTGTATTTTATGTGTCACACACTATACCAAGGTTACCATGACTTAGACCAAATATAAATGTTTTTCTTTCACATTTTTAGGCATCTTTGGATGATAAATTTCTCACAGACAGGACCATTTTATACTTTTACTCTTTCTCTTAAGTTTCTTTCTGTTTGTGTCTTACATATGTTCCCGTATGTGCATGTTTTTCCTGTGTTAGAATGAAATGTCTTTTAGGGCAGGGACTATTTTGCATTTATTCTTGTATCCCCAGTGCCTACAACAGTGTCTAGCGTATCCCAGGTATTTAATAAATGTTCCTTGATTGAGTCTTTATGTTCCTTAAATACCTAACATACTGTCTGGTAATGAGTACTTATTGTTTGCAACTTTTGTCCCACTCTAATTTGTAACAAGATGTCTGGGTCGATTGGTAGAAGCTGGCTATTAATCAGAGATGGTGAACTGGAGAGAGTCCTGGCAGTGTGGCTAAATGAGGAAACCTTTCTCCTTCATCATTTCAAATGAATAATAACAAGAGAACAAACTATAATAATAACGTCAAAACAAGAGAACAACAGTCCCCCAAAAAATTTAAGAAAGGAAAAATACGCTCCCATTTCAGTGGTAAATTCCTCTGAGGGTCAGAGACAATAAATAAATGAATAATAATAAAAAAAGAAACCCGAATACAATGAATATTTATGGAGTAAAAGTAAGTTAGAAACCAAGAGGGAGGAATAAAACTTCAAAAACAACAACTAGGCCACCAAGAAGAAAAATACAATTAGAACAAGAGCCCATCGAGTGCTTTAGGTATTCCATAAGAATTATTAAAAAGGTAAATATATAGTGTGTGTATATATATACATATATAATATTGTGTATGTAATATCTATCTATACAGAGAGAGTTATATTTGTATATATTTAAAAGCATGGGAAATAGCTTTCACTCCAAAATTTTCTATTTTGTTAAACTAAGCATATTCCATCATAAGAAAAAATGGTTCTTCAATGATACCATGAATTTTTACTCTTTCCTGCTAAAGAAGGAAGGGATAGGCAGGGCCTTTGACAAAATGGATAATTTGAAATCAATTTTGTTGGTATATGTATATTGAAAAAGTATTATAAAAATAAAAGATAAAACAAAACAAAACATTTTTGAGTTACCTGTGGCATGACCAGATGCAAGGATGATTTTTTTGGATTTTCTGAACCTGAAACAAACAAAAAAATGAGGCTAATCAGCAGTGTTATTACTAGTGTCTTTTACTACTGCCCTTTAAGGGAGGACTATGGCAAGGGTGGCTATGCCCCAACTTGGATATTCAAGTATAGTTGGATAAAAAATGGTGTCAAGTAAGGAGCTAATTCAATTATATTTAGAAAAAAAATAAGTATGCATTGTCAGTAAAGGACTGAAGATTCACAGAAGGATAAACACAGTACTTCCCTGTAAGGTCCAGAATTCCCATGGCTGGGGAACCCTGGACCTCCCCTATTACTGTAGAGTGTTCTTGATACCAAAGTAAAAGGCCAAAGATGTCCAGATTGATTATAGATAGTAGTTTAATCAATCATTATAAATAATTACAAAACAGGGCAATCTTTGGCCTAGTGTGGCAGCCAGATACTTCAGTAGATCCTCGCAAAAGAACTCCAAAGATCCCCATGGTAATTACAGAAAACATACAAAAGGAGGAGGAGTAAAAGAATGCATCACTAATGATTAGCAGATATTTTTGGTTTTCTGCTTAATAATGAGCTTGGATGTTGTCAGTGTTACACCCAAACCTAAGTTTGTGTATTGATCATGTACCCATCACATATGGGTTACAATATTCCTGTTATGATTTTCATAGATCATAGTATCTAAGTTTTGACTCAGTGTCTAAATTATGATTTGGTGTCTAAGTTGTGATTGTTTTGTATTTTTTTATTATTTTAATTTTTTAAATTTATTTATTTTTAGTTTTCTATATTTACTTCCACAAGATTTTGAGTTTCAAATTTTCACCCCACCTCGCCCCTTCCCCCACCCCAAGATGGCATGCATTCTGAATATCCCTTCCCCTAGTCTGCCCAATCTTCTATCTCTTTCCCCTTCTCTTATCCCCTTCCCCTTCTATTTTCCTGTAGGGCAGGATAGATTTCTGTAACCCATTTCCTGTATTTCTCATTTCCCAGTTGCATGTGAAAACATTTTTTTAAACATGTGTTTTTAAAACTTTGAGTTCCAAATTTTCTCCCTTCCTCCCTCCCCACACATCCTCATTGAAAAGGCAAGCAACTCAATATAGGTTATACATGTGCAGTTATGCAAAACACGTCCATAGTAGTCATGTTGTGAAAAACTGACTCTATGTCCCTTAATCCTATCCCACCCCTCACATTTATTCTATTCTTTCTTTTGACCCTGTCCCTCCTCAGAAGTGTTTGCTTCTGATTAGCCCCTTTCCCAATCTGCCCTCCTCTCTATCATTCCCCTGCTCTCTTCTCCCCTTCTCCCCCTATTTTCCTGCAGGGTAAGACAGATTTCCATACCCAATTGAGTTTGTATGGTATTCCCTCCTTAAGCCAAGTCCTATGAGAATAAGATTCACTCATTCCCTCTCACCCTCTCCTGTTTCCCCTCCACTGTAAGAACCTTTTCTTTTCTGTTTTTTGTGAGATAATTTACCCCATTCTACCTCTCCCTTTCTCCTTCTCCCAGTATAATCCTCTCTCACCCCTTAATTTTATTCTCCAAATATGACCCCTTCATCTTCAACTCACCCTGTGCCATCTATCTATCTATCTATCTATCTATCTATCTATCTATCTATCTATCTATCTATCTATCATCTATCTATATCTATATCATATGCATATAATTTTTTTCCCTCCACTAAGTTATGATTGTTTAGCAGCTCACTGTGTTGGGGCTTCCACCTTTGACAGAGTTTAAGTTTCTTTGGCTTTTCCCTTTTTACTATATTTTATGGCTTTTCCCTAATTGGAACCCCATACTCCCCTAAAGGAGCTAGTATTTGAGGGGAGATAAGATGTATCCAAATAATTACAATATTAATTAGCCTATGATAAGTATATGGGCAAGGTACAGAAAGATGGGTTTCCTAGAGGAGGTGGTACCTGATATAGATATTAAAGAATGCATAAGTTATGACAACTAGAAATGGCAGGGAGAGAAGACTTGAGGCATAGAAGATTACATAGGTAAAGGCAAAGAGATTGAAATGTATAATATGTATATGGCTGTAACAAACAATGTAGGAAGTGGGGAGTAACATGAGAAAAGACTTGTGGGACATAGATTGTGGAAGGTTTTGAATTCAACTAAAAAAGTTTGGATTAATGGAATTCATGTTTGGAAAAGCCCAAGAATAATAGTTTTCATATTTGGTTGCACAGAAAAGTGTCCACAAAACCTTGCACCTAGTACATCATAAACCATCCCTCTTCCTTTCACAAGCATCATTCATAGAAGTTCATTATTTGTAACAGTTGCTGTGCTCGTAATGGTTCTGGGGAAGTGGCTTCCAGTAAAGTTGTGTTTATGATCTCTTGACAGCAGAAGCCAATAACACTTTGTGGTGATTTCTATTTATTTTTTATTTTGGGTAAATATTCATTATCTGAATGCTAATTAAATCTAAACAAAAAAAGGAAAGAAGTTCAATATTACAATTTAGACAAATCCTTGTATATACATGCCCAATCCCCTTTAAAGGAATCAAATTAACGTTATAAAAAATTAACAAGCCCCATGCAATTTTTTAACCTCAAAATTGGAGAATCCGCATCAAAGAGAATTATGTACATGTCCTATTCCACTCTTCTTCCCCTGCTAAATTGTAAGCTTCCTGAGGGAAGGACCTATAAATGCTTCATAGATTTGTTGAACTGGATAAAGTCCTGTTTTTTTCCCTCCAATTTCTCTATTCTGCATACATTTCATGAGATAGAAAACTGCCCTCAGAACCCTGCCTGTGACACCTGTGACCCTGGACAGGCTACTTAGCATTTGAAGAGCT